TCGTATCGATGCCCCGTGCTAACTGAAGAGCTTCGCATCGTGCTTTGAGGACTCCAGAGAGCCGTTTCGGCATAATACCTCCTGTACATATATTGTAAGTACGTAGGAGAATTAATTTTGATAGATTCGTACCGTACTGGCCTGTTTTGAGTGAGTTCTGGCCACACGGCACCCCCCCATTCCCCATGAAAATCATACCGATGTCCAGACGCGTTTTGCTATATGCAATCACGTGTTCGTTTTTTTCTATTTTTTGGAAGTGGATCGTATATTAATCTCTCCTCTTGTAATTCATAATAATAAATTATTTTTTTTGCATAATAAATCCTTAAATATGAATATCTAAAGATTTGTGTGAGGAATTTCCTTAAATCTAAGTATTTACTGAGATACATGTGCTGTACCTACAGTATCTCACTCAATTTTCAAGTTATTAAAAATTCCTCACACAAATCTTTAGATATTCATATTTTATTAATTTTAAAGATTTTTAGTTATTTTTTAATGATGTATTGAGGGAGGAGATACATTTACAAAACTACAAGAAAACTCTCGACATGATGGACGCGTGCCGCCATCACGGCATCTACCGTGGGAATGCACGCGTCGTACCTTAGGATTGCCGACCCCCACAAAGAAGATGAATGGCGATCGACGGATTGAAATGATAAATTGGGAGGGAGTGAAAGTTGAAATTAAACTCGGACTACGTACGGCTGCTCTTGTGTGCGTCCCTCACCCACATGACATTTTCCGAGAAGATACGGATAAGGATGGATAAAAGGAGGGTAAGGAGTTGGACAGGAGGAATGCTTCGAGCTTGCTACACTACTGGTTTACCTGTCGAAAGACAAATATTCAGTGAAAGACTATCTTGCCAAGGATGAGCCGAATCTTGGTTACCTTTCTCGTTGGACTTGTAGCTATCCTGATTGGCTTTTACCAGTTAAGCCTGAGGCCGAAACTTGCTATCCTTGGTGTTGGACGTGAGGTGAGGCCTGTTGGGAATACGCGATGTAAAGTGTATCCTGATGCTCAGGCTTGTGAAAGTAAGTAGTTGGTTAAATTCGCATTATGTTACAAGGAGTGCAAGCTACTGTTTACTATACTGACTTACGTGGATTTTAGAAATTGTGATACATAACCCGACTGGACTAGTGTACATGGCGTGTTCAACACCATCGAGTAGAACACACTGGATCCCAACAACAGATCGGCTCAATGCTATGGGGAAGTCTTCATCAGACTATGTCGCATTCTTCGACCCCTCTACTTCACGTACAACTCGTTTACGCATAGAGGGGTTCAAAGATCCACGTGGGCAAGGACTAAGTGTGCACGGGATGGACGTTGTCCCTTCGAAAGAGAACCCTGGTGAATTGATAATGTATCTCGTTAACCATCGTACACCACTACCACCTAAAGACCCGAAGGTCGATGGTGCGGACTCGGTTGTAGAGGTGTTCCGAACGACTCCCGGGAGTGAGGTGATGCGTCATGTTAGGACGTTCGAGGACCCGGTGATCACTACGCCGAATGACATACTCGCTATTGGGGACGACGATAAAAGCTTTTATTTCACGAATGATCATGGGTTTCGGAAGACCGGACTTGTAAGCCCGCTTTATCTTCCTTCCCCCTTCATCTATTCTATTTCCTATGACTTCTGGCGGGATCTTAGACTAATGAGAACTTTTGATTCTGATTTGATTTGATTTTATCCGAATTTTTGGTTTGGGGAAGTAGGCTAGAAGACTCGCTCTCGATGCGTTCTTCGACCTCGGATGGTCTAACGTTGGATATTGTCACGCTGAGCGGGGGTGTAAAATCGTTATCGATAACCTCGTCTCTGCGAACGGTATTACTCGGGGTAAGGATGGGAGGGTATACGTTACGAGTCCGACGTCCGGGCGCGTATATGTTCTTGATAGGAAGGCGGATAATAGCCTGGTGATCGCAGATGTCATTACGCATAGTAAGTAGCATACATCATTCTCTTTGAGTCAAGTATCTATGCAGGAACAAGTTGATTCTGACTGACTTTTAATTATTACAGGCGGTATGATTGATAACCTCTCGACAGACCAGAACGGTACCATCTGGGGCGCGGGACTCGTGCATATCCTCCACTTTTCTGGACCTCATCATGATAACCCAGAAATCAAGACACCCTCATCCGCATTACGCATAACGGTTAATAACTCTGGCACACCGCGCGAGAAATATAGAGTTGAGAAGGTTCGTTCATTCCCTCCGCTTTTCGATACCTGACCCGATTGATGTTATAATGTTAATAATTCTGATTATGAGTAGGTATTTGAAGACGATGGAGAGTTTGCATCTGGGTCTACGTCTGCTGCATATGACGCGGAGCGCAAGAAGCTGTACTTGCATGGTACGTGTTGCATTGATGTATGCTCGCATCGCTGGTTTAATTGTCTTATATCACCTTCTTTTCAGGAATCGCCTCACCACATTTGACAGTCTGCGATATCTAATTCACTCAACGATAACCACCTTCAATACACTTGCAAGCGCTCTTAATTAATACGATTGTATTGTATAGCATCATCGCCTTATTTGTATGACGTAGAAAGGAATTGTTCATTAAGCCAAGTATGTGCTACATGGACGGAGCGCAACAACAGATAATGATACATTGACATTGATAAAGATCCGTGCGTGTGTGTAGAATGCAATGGAAGTTGAGTGGAGAGCAAAGGAATGGAGAATTATGTATTTGTGAAGGACAAAAAGAAAGGAAAGGAGGCAAACATCCCGGAATTAAAAAGTCACATCTCATGTTTCAATTATACGTCAGCTAAACAATAGTATGGATGTAGTGACAAAACACTCGTTAATAGGAATAAAACAGGAAAAGAAATAGTCCGATTACGATTGTCTACATAGCCTTAGGCGAGAACGGATTTGCGGTTGTAGGGGTTTGTGCGTGTACCATGGATGGATGTGGACCTGAGGGTGGTTGAGGCCAGTTCTCTGGTATTACTCGTGCGTCATCGTCAAATGGCGTCTTGAATGGATTACCACCCGCTGCAGCAGCAGGGGATTTGGGTCCACTGCCAATTTTGGGTAATGGCACTGAGGACGTACGCTTATGTCTCCGTGCGCCATTGGACATCACAAGTGTGTTCTCTGGCAAGAGTGAATCGCGCTGAGGGTGATGAGGGAGAGAAGAGTGGTAATACGACGGAACGCCTGACTGACTGAGCCCAGTCGTAGCAGTACCGGGCATGGGGAAAGCACCAATCGCACTCGGATCATGACTCCCGTTCATCCCAACAAACCCCGAAGGACTAGTAACATTCGCGTTCGCAGCCCGCTGTGTCGGTCTCGGGCTTTGCGGAAGACCACCAAACTTAAGCTTGCCCTTGCCTCTGCCTTTCGGACGCTTTCCAGCAGTGCTCGTAGGATTCGGCAACCAAGGAAGCGTGCGCGGCGGTGCGGGAGAAATAGACCATGCCGAGGGAGGGTTATTCTGCACTCGCACTGTACCAGGGGTAGCTGTGGGTGGTGCCTCGCCAGCAGTCGGAAGTCGATCGCGTGCCACGTTGGCAAATGCTGCGTTTGATAAGCTCGTTCGGATTGTTAAATTTGGACGTTGACGAAGCTGCTTCCCTCCAGAACCATCGCTCGACCGTGTGCTACCACCACCGAGTGAGTCTGCTTCGTCGCTGCTACTACTCTCGACGGAGGATCTACTCCGGAAGGCGTTGGTAAGGCGCCTCATCCATCCAGACTGTTCCTTCGCATCGTCTTCCCCGCTATTCGCTGCAGCGTTCTGCATGCGAACGCGTTCCTCATCGCTGACGAATCGTTCCCGTCCAGCCTTGGAACCAATTGCCGTAAGCTTCCGAGGCTTACTGATCTTTGCGGGAGCTCCGTTAGAACTACCTCCGGTGCTTGAGTCGAGCAAGCTATCCCACGAGCGTTGATGCTGGTGCTCATGTGAGCGCCTAGCAGTCGGCGAACGTAAGTTAACGTTGAGGAACCCTTCAACCTGAGGTGTCTTCTCGTCTAATTTCTTCTCCGTTGAATACGTAGGAGCTTCCTCAGGTTTGTACGGCGTGACGAACGAAGTGAAATCTCGATGCTCGTTGCGGAACTTCCGCCGTTTGCGTGCGTCCCTTGCAGGTTTCACATACGAATGCCACAGGATAATCAATATTGCGATAACAACAACTAAACCCCATAAGCCAATAAAAACGGAGAACATGAGTCGTTCTTTCTTCAGTGAATCGACATAACGGGCGACGAGCTTGCCGACAAGGCCTTGGTTGCCGTCTGAGCCATCGCCAACGGCAGCGTTCGCAATGGGCTTCGAAGCTTCGTTAACGTCGGCTTGCGAGAGTACAAGAGCCGATTCGTTCATGCGTGGAATATCGATGTTAAGGTTGTCGTGCAAAAACGTCAGCGCATTCTCCAGAGCTTCAATCTTAGTGCCAATGATACAACGAACAAATTCCTGGATCGGACTTTCAAGAACGGTACCGTTGAACACTGTAGAAACAGCGTTCTGAACATCCGAGTAGAAGTTGACCAATGTATCATTCAGAGTCGTAGTTGTGCCGTTGACCCATCCGAAGAGTCCATCGTTGATTGTCGTCTGCGTCGTATTGACCTGCGTGTTAATTTGATTCGCGTATGTTGCCGACTGGTTATACATGCTTGCATTGATGGACGTTGCAATCGTATTCGAGAAATCCGAAACGGACGAAGCGACCCGTTCCGAGTACTTCGCTTCAATAGGGTGAACAGCGAGGAGCTGCAATTCGACGGACAAAAGGCCAAGGAAACCGATCAAAAATACAGCAAGTACTGGCGGATGAAACACATAATGGAAGAACCACTGCAAATTAGTGTGCTGAGACGGTGACAACCGCAAGAGGCCAGCTAGTTGGTTGGAAATACGTATCAGAAGTGGATGCTGCTGGCTGCCCGCAAGAACAAGGAGGTTATGGTTCGTCATTCGCAAGCTTGGCGTCTCGCCGTTTTGCACAGCATTGTTCATCGTCGGATCAGTTACCCACGCCTCACGGGTATATTCCAGGTGTTGTTGCAAACAACGCCATTTGTACCATTCAAGAGCGCAGTGGGCTGCAAGCAGCAAGAGTGCAAGCACGACGAGGATGACTATGCCAATCTTCGTGATTTTTATAAGATCACGGCCCAAATCGTCGACAACCGAAGTGTCCATATCACCACAGAAGCTCATAGACTCCTGGTCGGGAACGAACAAGGTCTGAGAATTGAAATCCAAGCCAGCGAACGTGTTGTTGATATCAGCCTTGAGGTCCTCGAAAGGCGTATCGACACTGTATATTAATTAGATTAGACAAACTGCAGCTCTCAAAGGAAATAATATACTTACAAATCCTTGATAGAATCCCTTAGCTGATCCAGAGTCGGTAGCGAAGAATTCAATTGCGTCAGCGACGACTGGATAGAATCTGGCAGTGTCACGTTCTGAAGGGCGCTCAAATCCGGAACGTTGAACTGCGGTGCAGAAATGTCGCCCAACGGGTTCACGTCGTTAATCTTATTTATAGCCGACTGGATGGCAGAATTGATAGACTGGACATCGTTCTGGATTCCAGTTCGGATAGTATTGAATGTGCCAGTCAGCACGTTGTTAATCTAATCAAAGCTGAAGATCAGTGTTCAAGCGCCTGAACATACAATGGCTTACGTCATTAACGGCTTCAATAAGCAACGACAGACCACCGCGCACAACTAATTCAAGGAAGCAGAAAAACGTCGACCGATAGATGTCAATCATGAAGTTAATAATTCCCTCGACTATCGTAAGTGACAACACAAGGGTAGCACGCGCAGCATTCATAGTGCCATTTACTGCGTCCGCGATTTGCTTGTTCGTCCCGATAGCCATGTACCGTGGCAGACTCGCGGCCACGGTAGCCGCCTTTTCTGCTGCAGCACAGCTAGCCAACAAGTTAGCCTTTGCATCAGCAACAGAGTCTTGAGCAGATGCAGATGATATCGCGAGTCGGAATGCTACGAAAAGCACAGAAATAATCGGGTATGCAAGCCAAGTAAGGGAAAGAATATAGGGAAGTGTAAGATAAGGCGTAAGTGTCGTTCCTTCGCGTGCAACTGGTGCTTCATAGATGGGTGGTGGAGACATCCATCTGCGTGTTGTTGGAGAAATTGCGGACATATAGCTCAGTTCGACTGGCCTTGCGGGAAGTGTAAAGGGAGGTCGACCAGCGACGTCAGACCAAGAGAAAGGGAGAAGCGTGATGAAGGGAAGGAAGGGAAAGAAAGACTCTTAGAGACAGAGGGACAGAGAGCAAAAGACTATGCAGGCTGAGGCCCCATTGTCCATAATAAGTTTTTCGTGGCTTATTGTTCATTGTTCTCCAGAAGTCAGAATACAAAAGGCGCTTGTTGCACTAGACTGGATCCGGCCGCCCATAACACAGGGATATTAATTTTGCGGTATTTTCACCCCTCATAGTCGTCGTTTGCTACTCCGTTCGTGAAGAGTTAGAAGCATGTTCTAAGGATGGATTTTACCCTTGATGCGAGGTGGTTGAAGTTCGTTGAGCGGAGAACAAAGATCTGATGAAGGAAGGAGCCAAACAGGCTCAAACAGGCAATCGCGCTCGGTATTTACCGGGCCGGAGTTGTACCGAAAAAAGTGCTCCTTCAATTGTTTAACACCGCCCTCTCTTACACATTGCATCGACGTAGTCATTCTCAGGGCAGACTCTTTCTGGCGGACAAAGCTCTAGGAGCCAGGAGCTACGTGGGAGCCGTTAATTTTACATACGGAAGGAACAATTTTTTTTCACGTTCTTTCATTCACGTTGAGCACGATATGGCCGGCTTGTACGCCAGTTATCTTGTCCATGTGTTTTGCTCGCGACAGTATACGCTCTTTCAGCCAGCTAGCCAGTTTCAAAGCCAAGTATTTCTCATGACGAAGCGACAGAAATGGTCCCATTCGCTGGCTTGCATTTTGTGCATGTTCCGACTCATAAGAGAACACAGGAACAATATTAATGTTCAACGCATAGGAAGCCGTCCTATTAAATGCATTAGCTATACACACATTCCACCCAAGGCATGCAAAGCAGCTGTTAATTTACGCTTCTGGAACGTTCGGACAGCATGGAGTGGGTCCAATGGAAGATGCGACGAGTGAGCTCTGTACATCCCGTTTGGACATCTGGTTTTAAGTTGGCTTGCCATCCAGGGTGAGAGTCTCATCCTCGGTGACAGATGAGGAGGGATGCATTCGTTTATTGGGAAGGTATGTTTTGTTGTTCTTGGGTTATTCGAAGCATTTATTGTACATGGTATGTAAACATTATACTACGCACTCCGGGCATGCTGAGAGAATACACTCATTCATAACTTAGCACTTTCCCGTGCCTGGTGCTCTTTACTTGGTACTGTGGTACACTTATAAGCTGCTCACAAGTGTGCCGTATAGCGTGCTATGATTCAGGCTTGTGAAATTTTGCCAATGCAGACGTTTGAATACCTGTAAACCAGTGATGACAGCAGCTTCACAAACTCCTGGACTTATACTTCTTATACAGGCAGTATATGCCATCCCGTTTCTTGAAGGCCTTGCTCCCAGTAGTGCATTTGGCGATTGCAGTGAGGAGGCACTGACCCGCAGCAGGTTTGGCGAGCAAACTTGACCGATGTCCTACACCAGAGTGAAAGTGCGAGTATTGAAAACCCAGGCGAAATTATTATTAGAGACACAATTTTAGAGACACATGAATTGTAGGGTCTATTACAACACCATTCAAGCACCTATATGTACAAGATTGACCCATCGTTCAGTCCGAATCCCATCCCGCGCTTTCAGCTCCAAAGCTGCTTTTCGAAGGCCACCAGCCGCCCTTTTATACTTAACTTCACCCTTCTCGCAGTCGTTGATATACTCATAAACAACCTTGGTTAATGCGGGCCCATCTGTGTCAAGTAACTCCCACATCGAACCAATCACACTTCGAAAACCAGAAAATTGCATAGCCGCTGCCAGATGAAGGACCTCGTCGTACACTCCTTCGTGATGTTGTTCCGCAGTATGGCAGGCAGAAAGGAACGCAAACTCTGCATTCGGAAGATTCGTTTGAACAATATCCAGCATTGTTAGACCACGGTCCGATAAATTGAATGAAGAGCCAAAAGCCTTTGACTCTAGAAAGCCATGACAAACAAAATGCACCCATCGCGCTTCCTGAATGGCTTTGATCACACTATCGTGAGATGCCTTCTTGCCAAGGAGTAATTTGGTACGCATACCACAATTCCGGACGTTGGAAATTTCCTGTTTAGCTGACCGAAGTAAGGTGTCTCCAATCACAAGTACAGTTGGATCATCTTCATCGCTGTCTGATCGCGCATTGATGAGGGCGGCGAGCGTCGGCGTATACGATGATACATAGTCATCTAACAAGTACTTCCTAGTACCATCCGCATCCTCAAAAGGCCCTGCTGCATGGAACGGAAGCATGGTCAACACGGATGTAGGACACCACCAAATGCGAGAGCCTTTTGCAATTCCAGCTTCTGTAAGTTTATTCACGACGTTAGAGACAACTCTGTCCCATAGCATCTTCATCGCCTTGCGGAGCTTCTCGTCATATTCTAGTGAATCGGCGCCTGACCGTTGGCGCGTTCCTACGAGCTGGTTGCATAGTTCGACGCTATCTTCATAGAACTCACTGTCTAGAGGGATAGTGTCAACTGATAAGTCGACACTGGAGTGGATGATGAGGACATCGGAACGATATCGGCAGTGATTGACGACGATGACCGGTCCCTCCGAAGATGCCTGCCGCAGCACCTCAAATGATTTAGCTCCGAGAAAGCTCTCAAACCCTGGAACTCTCCGGATCTCGTTGATAACCTTCTCTTTCTCATTCGAAAGCTGTCTCTTTAATACCAACAGCTCGTCAAATGATTTCCATTCTCCTTGTGGGTCTATTGCAACCGATTTGGTTCCATCTGCGATTGAACCGGACGTTAATGGGTCATATGATGTCGCGAGATTCTCCAGCCGGCGATTGATATTCCTGAGTCTGTTGACGAGTTCTTTGTTTGTTTCTGCGAGTTGATCCAGAGGGGTCCTAAGACCGCGTAACTGAGACCAAAGTAAGCCCCTTCCTTGCTCAAGTACCTCTATGGCTTGTTCCAATTTATTCTTCTCGATGGCATAGGAAGCTGCCTCCAAAGTCAGTGCTCTGTGGACATTTTTCCCAGTAAGGAAATCGTGTTGTTCGCGGAGCGTTGGACTTATGGTGAGAGCATGCTGAAGAATTAAAATTATCGCTTTATAAGCCGCAAAAGTGGTGTTATGGTCATGCGACCGTGCAAGTTCTGCCCATCGACGCGCTGCAAAAAGGCGCTCCAACGATCCTGAGAATTGATGCGTAGCAGCAAGCTCCAATAATTGAATACAGTCTTCAAACTCGTCCATACTCCATCGGTTCCTGATTCGAGCATATAAATAATTTGCAAGGCTCCTAAGTGATAAAGAACGATCCGGATGGCCTTCAGGGCGAAGCTTGAGGGCGGCTCGTTCCAGCCTGATAGCCTCCTCAAGATCCTCACCCCTTCCATTCTGCTCGTATCGGACACTCAGAGAACTTGCGAGATTGTTGAGAGATAACGAGTGATTTGGATGACCTTCGGGGAGAAGAACGAGGGCAGCTCGGGACAACTCAATAGCCTTCTCAAGTCCCTCAATCCTTCTATGCTGCATGTATTGGGTTCTCAGAGAATTCGCAAGATTGTTGAGAGACATAGAACGGTGAGAATGACCTTCGGGGTGGAGCTCAAGGGCAGCTCGATGCAACTCGATAGCTTCATCAAGATCCTTAACCCCTCCATGCTGCAAATACCGGGTGTTCAGAGAAAGTGCAAGGTTATTGAGCGACATGGGACGACGAGAATGGCCCATAGGGCAAAGCTGCAGGGTTGCTCTGTGTAACTCAATGGCCTCCTCAAGATCCTCATTCCTTCCTTGATGGTCATATCGAGTACTTAGAGAAAGTGCAAGAGTATTGAGAGACAAAGACCGCTCAGGATGGCCTTCGGGGCGAAGCTCGAGGGCAGCTCGTTCCAACTCAATCGTCTTCTCAAGGTCCTCAGTCCTTCCATGTTGCTTGTACCGGGTGTTCAGAGTGAGTGCAAAGCTGTTGAGAGTCATAGAGCGATCAGGATGGCTGCTGGGACAGAGCTCAAGGGCAGCTTGGTGCAGCTCGATCGCCTCCTCGAGATCCCCGCTCCTTCCATGCTGCTCGTAGCGAGTGCTTAGTGAACTTGCAAGGTTGTTAAGAGACGAAGAGCGATCAGGGTGGCCGTTGGGGCGAAGCTCGAGGGCAGCTCTGTGCATCTCGATCGCCTCCTCAATATACTCGTTCCTTCCGTACAGTCTGTATTGCGTGATCAGAGAAACGGCAAGGTTGTTAAGAGACGAAGAACGACCGGGATGGCCTTCGAGGCGAAGCTCTAGAGCAGCTCGTTCTAACTCGATGGCCTCCTCAAGACCTTCAGCGCTCCCAGACTGTTTGTATCTGGTACTCAGAGAACTTGCAAGGTTGTTGAGAGATAAAGAACGATCAGGATGGCCTTTGGGAAGAAGATCGAGTGCGGCTCTGTGTAATTTGATGACCTCCTCAAGGTCTCCAGTACTTCCACACTGCCTATATCGGGTGCTCAGAGAAATTGCAAGGTTGTTAAGAAACGAAGAACGATCAGAACGGTCATCGGGGAGAAGCTCGAGGGCGGCTCTTTGCAGTGCAATAGCTTCTTCCAAATCCTCCCATTGGCCCCATTGCTCGTATCGCGTCGATAGAGAAGTTGCAAGATTATACAACAAATCCGAGCACTCAGGATGCCCTTCAGGACAGAGTTTGAGAGCCGTACGATCATGAGCAATAGACTTTTCGAGTTCTTCACGTTCTCCGGATTGTTCGAAACGTTCCCAATGTACAAGGGCCAGATCTCGATGTATCCAAGGATCACCAAGATCAATGTTATTACTTGGAGGGTCTTGAATTGCGGCACTGCTCGATTCCATCCCGATGCGTACTTTTCTAAGCTCGACATCAATCAGTATACGACTCTTGCAGTGCACTGTACGCATTACCTGTAAATCCTAGTAGTAGAGCCTGTCTTGTGCGCACCTGTGCTATGCGAAACGGAGGCGGGATGTTGTGAATGAGGAAAAGAGATTGGCGCCTGCACCAGACGCACTGGAAATACACAATTTCTAGATCACATGATGCAGAAGAAATCCAAGTACAATAAGGTTATTCATCTACTCTTCTCCCTAGGTACACCATGTCTTTGACTGTTGATTGAATGGACTTTTCCGATCGTTAGCCCCATGAAATGACATTGCAATGACGGCAACAACATAATATCGCCCTAAATACATTCCAGCACAAAAGAGCAAATAGGGACATTCTTGTAAATATTGTGAGAACAAATCCGACTGAGTAACAGCCCACAGATAATAAAAACAATGACACATTTCCACTTAACCAAAACATTAGTGAATAAATACGAGGTGGTAGAACAAACAAAATTCCTTCATATATCTGGAAATCAAGTAGGAAGGTAAATATGGAGCAAACCAGGATTTGTGTCGTCGACTTTAACATCAAAGTGATGCTTCCTATAGAAAAAAGAAAAACGATTAGCACGTCCATGAAGTTAAATACGATGGTTTCTAAAAGTACTTCATCCTATCTATGATCGCGTTCTTCACGACGGAATTGCCTCCAGTAGGATGTCTACCGCGTCCAGTTATCACCGTAAGCCTCGAACCGCCTCTTTGCTGTAAAGCAAGCAGCGCTTCGTCCGTTGCTCGTATTGCTTCGAAGACTTTGAGACGATGTACATCCACCTTGTCCGTTGCGAGTGCTGGAACATACAAATTCAACAATTAAGATGACATGTAACAATAGTTTTTAAAAAGACAAGTTACCTGAGTTGAACAGCCTCTCCGCTTTACTACGCAACCGACGTGCTTGCTCCTCGATGGGCTCCAGCTGACATTTAAGTGCAAATGCTAGTGCATGACGATCATGTTGATGTGCCTCACGCCACTGCTCTCGAAGTTTCTTGCACTGCTCTTCCATCTCATGAGCTCGCTGTTGAACCAACATCGCACGAGAATAACGACCGCTCTTAGATCTTCGCGATTGCATACTCTCATCCGGTGTCGAGGAAGGAGCTACAGAACTCTGATGACTTGCTTTGGAGCGGGCTACCGCTATGGGTGTCTCGTGAGGATCTTCGCTAGGAATTTCGTGCTCGCGTGAATGGCTGCGATGACTCCTGCGGAACCATTCGACGGACGGAGTCTTTGTAACTTCGGCATGACCAGGGGCCACATCGTCGTTGTCCTGAACGTCCAGTCTGATTATGTCGTAATCGATATTACTGCGCGAAGTAGCTCGCGAATGTGACTTGTTCAGTGAAGGACGTCGCGAACTAGCTGAGTTAGAACGAGATCTACCACCACGGAAGTCTGAGGCAGGTGGTTCCAGATGTTCGGGCGGAAATACAAGTAATGGTTCGTCTGATGGTATGATACGACCTCCGTAATCAGTGCTAGAGGACGGAGGAGCAGGGTCAGCAGAATCCCTCCATGCTTTCTTTAGTTTAAAGATGGAGGGTGGTTGTGGATCGCTACTCAACTCTGCATGCGACGTTCGTGATCGTGGTCGTCGTGCTTCCCCGCCACTGTGTTCATATGGCGGAACCGACTCAAGCTCCGGAAAAGAACCAAGGGACTGTGATGGAAATCGCCTGCCCCGATCATGCGCGGAGCTTTCAGTGATGATTTGGCTGCGCCGTCCTTCAGATATGTGACCAGCGTTAGACGTCTCGTACTGAGGCTGCAATTCGTCGTCATCAGCGCGAATAATACGGACATTGATACCTGTCTCAGTTGGTGGAGGTATATAAATCCTCGTGGTCTCGCCTGAGTAGTCGATAACAACTTCTGGAGCTGGCGAGGCTGGTCTCTCACTATGCCTAGAAGCAGACTCCTCGCTTCGGACTGCGCTTGCAGTAAATGCTCTGCCAGCCTCCGGAGGGCTCGTATGATGCATTGAGCTCCTCGATCTCATCGTTGATTGACGATCAGGCGTCCCAGGAACTGACGTGTCGGCGAGCTCCTCCGCTATGAGTTCCGTCAATATTGTTCGTCTCGTAGATGCACGCGATCGCGTCATTCTCGAGCGCATGCCATCATGTGAAGTGAATGGTAGAAAAGTCAGGGGATCATCTGCTGCTTGACTTGGGCTCGGCGTTGGGGCGACGCTCGGTTGCCTTTGCGAAGTTGTATGAATGTGGGAACCACGAGAAGAGGGTACGGCAGAAACCGGACGTGGAGGAATGAAAGGTGTGGGCACAGAGGAATCCTGATCTGTCGCTGCACGATAGACCTCTTGATGGACGATTTCTGATTTCCTGCTAACAGGAGTTTCGGGATGGTCAAGGTTTATAAGAGGGGGAACGTCTTGCGCTTCGGGAGTTCGTGTACGATGAGACAAAGATGGAGTTCTGACCCTATCATCGACAGAGCTTGTCCTCGGCTTTACGGAAGGTGACTTCGCTCGTGCTGTATGGTCAGATGAAGCATCGTTCTTGTAGCTGGACTCTTTCGAGATGTCTATTACAACATCCTCGTTGGTACCACGAAAGGATATGTCTTCGACCTTGGCTGTTGATCTGACAGTAGGCGAAGAGAGTCGAGATAAGGACGAAGGTGCCTCTACATGGATGTTGATGTCTGTGAACCTGGATACTGAAGGTGGAGGAAGCGGGGTCATTGTAGCCAATAGTTCCTGATCTCGTCGTCCCCTAGTACTCTGCGTCTGAGTCGTAATCTGTGTTTGAGTTTCAAAACCAGATAACAAGAGACTCTTGTCGAGATCCGTGCTGACATTCATGGACGCCGACGCGCGCCGAGAAGTCGATTTCGAGGAACGGGCCTTCCGCTGAGCCTCGATCCACTGTGCGGTTGTCATCTTTCGATTCCGAACACTTGGCGAATAATTCTCGTAAATAATCGTCACATCATCCGTGAACTCACTCAGCACATCCAACGAGTCCAAATCATCCTTTATGTCCAGCGCTCTGAGTTTCTTGTTCACGTTCTGGCCCAGATCGTCCCAGAGTGTATGCAACGCCGCCGTGTCCGAGATTAACACACCTAGTACACTGCCCAGCGCGAGCGACGCAAGTCGTGCGGGAGTATGATGGTACAACGCGTCAAAGCAAACGCCAGCGATGATCTCGGTAAGAACCAGCGGTTCGAGTATTTTGTCGGTACGATATGCTGCATATGCGACGATCCCGTCCCAGATGCCCGAAAGCGCCCCTGCGAGCTTGTCGTTTCGAGTACAAAAAGCGTTGATGATGACCCTCAAGGCGACGCCGACGCCGACAGAGAGGGCATGAGGCGTCGACATGTCGCTATGTCTGCTTCAGACCCTCAGAGAGCGACATGTCAGGTCTGAGTTGCAGTGTTGCACGCAGCCGATCAACGCACGGATGCAGGTCACATGAGCATTGAAATGAGGGAGGGAAGGCTAAGGTTGAAGTGATATACTTTGCTCTGAATGAAGCACTTTATCTGCTTGATAAATACGACGTGTGTCTATAATCGAAAAGCAATGTTTCCTCTTGATCACGTCTAGCAGCTATCCATATCTCATCTCATCTTACCTCTTGAGCCTCCTATGCTTCCATCTGTTCCATTCATCTCAGTTTCATCACGAACTTGTGTTGCACTGGTTCTATCTTCTATTGGGTGCAACCATCTCTGGTGTTGGTATACTGCAGTACTAGTACGGGTGTTTTATACGTCTCCCTTTCCCTCGACTGCGTATCAGCATCACGAGTTCCTCAGAAGGCCCTCAGACACTACAGTCACCCATCACAAGCACTTAGCACTCAGTCGAAGCCATCCGACACCCTGCAAATACAGCTCAAGCAAGTATCAGTGTACTCATAAATAAGGACGTTTCAAGCTTATTGAAGCTTATTGCACAGGTTCCGAAGGCGAATGTAACTTTTTGGACTTCACTATAAAAAATCAATGTACCGCCGCGTTGATACTACCGTAAGCATCGCAACAAATATGCCATCACTTCCTTGCGACTACCTCACTTACTAATCATCAATCAGGCCCAACCTATATGAACGTGCTCTGCAGAGGATTATGCCCCCCCCCCCCCAAACGTTGTTGATAGCTATAAGCACTCCTAGTGAGGAAGCTTGACTCCACATGCCTTTGTTAATCCCCGAATACAACTCTGTCCCTCTTCCAGACGAAACAGACCAATCAGATGACACCCTAGATGAAGGTGACGTATCCACCTTAGAGCTCTGCTCGCAGCAGACTTCATCAAACGACACTGCCTCCAACTTGCGTGGCCCTGGCAGGACGCTTGGACGCCTTTACTCACGTGGCGGACGTGCTCTTGAAGCAGTTATTGGACGGGCCGCACATAGAAGTGGATTTGGTCCTAAGGCGGTGGCTTCTCGAATTAGACGTATAGAGCTTAAGAGAATAAGATTTTCAGGAGACAATGAACTCGATAGGGAGAGTCAAGTTCGACGTGTCGTACGATGGACAGTGAAGGACGGAAGCGAAGCAAAGCTTCGTTCGGACTGCCAGAAACTCGCAAAATACGCCACGTGAGTGCTGGCTGGCATTCGACCTACTAAATAATCCTCAAAGAAAGAAATGTGTTCTCTTTCAGCGCAGAGATATGGGAAACGAGATTCGAGGCACTAGTTCAGATCATTCAGGTAGTCACAGCGGAGCCACGTCTACGCGCCTTCTTCAATACACCACCGATCCTGCTCGATTTGAGGGCCGCTGCACAAACATCGAACATCTCAGTACAGGGATCAACACACTGGGAAGACGGACTGAGGAGACATCGAGTGACGAAGGCCCTTGCAAAACAGGCATTCTTTGTCGTTGAGGATAATCCTTTGAATGACATTATCGAAGACTTCCTCCGTATGTTGTTTATACAAGAAGATTCTCAAATACTGGAGCTCGAGAAATGCGATCTGATCGTGGCGGGGCTTCTTGAATACTGCAGGTAACTGCATTTTGTGCTCAATTAACATAAATACAATTAAATCCCACATTTCTTAGCAACCGTCATTATTCATACATAGCGGGATTTCTCAAAACCTATGTAATAGAAGCTACAAGCAAGCTTGCAAACTCCTTACAGACCCGATTTGGGCAATATCGACAAATCACAGATCTTAGTGGGGCCATCGAATTATACCGTGCCGCTCTGCGACTTCTTCCTGACGGCCATCTCGAATGTCTCTCGTTTTTGAAATACCTCGCGAGCTCCCTTCAGACTCGATTCAGACACATGGACAGACTGCAGACCTCGATGAGGCGATTGAGCGTCGTCGTGCTGCCCTGCAACTCTGCCCCGACGGCCATCCCGAACATTGCCAGTCTCTGAATAACCTTGCGAGCTGCCTTCAGACTCGATTCGAACGGTATGGACAGACCGTAGACATTGATGAGGCAATTGAGCGTCATCGTGTAGCCCTGCAACTCTGCCCCGACGGCCATGCCAGACGTTCCTTGTCTCTGAACTACCTTGCGTGTTCCCTTCAGACTCGATTCGAACGGCATGGACAGACTGCAGACATTGATGAGGCGATTTCGCATCATCGTGCTGCTCTGGAACTCTGCCCTGACGGCCATGCCAGACGTTCCTTGTCTCTGAACTACCTTGCGTGTTCCCTTCAAACTCGATTCGAACGGTATGGACAGACTATAGACATTGATGAGGCGATTCTGCATCATCGTGCTGCCCTGGAACTCTGCCCCGACGGCCATGCCAGACGTTCCTTGTCTCTGAACTACCTTGCGTGTTCCCTTCAAACTCGATTCGAACGGTATGGACAGACTATAGACATAGATGAGGCGATTGAGCATTATCGTGCTGCTCTGGAACTTTACCGCGACGGCCATCCCAAACGTCCCGTGTCTCTGAATTACCTTGCAAATTCCTTTCAGACTCGATTCGAACGGCATGGACAGACTGCAGACATTGATGAGGCGATTTCGCATTATCGTGCTGCCATGGAACTTTACCCCGACGGCCATGCCAGACGTTCCTTGTCTCTGAACTACCTTGCATGTTCCCTTCAGACTCGATTCGAACGGTATGGACAGACTGCAGACATAGATGAGGCAATTGTGCATTATCGTGCTGCTCTGGAACTCTGCCCCAACGGCCATCCCAAACGTCCCTCGTCTCTGAATCGCCTTGCAAATTCCCTTCGGACTCGATTCGAACGGTATGGTCAGACTACAGACATAGATGAGGTAATTGTGCATTATCGTACTGCCCTGGAACTCTGTCCCAACGGCCATCCCAAACATCCTGTGTCTCTGATTTACCTTGCAAATTCCTTTCAGACTCGATTCGAACGGTGTGGACAGACTACAGACATTGATGAGGCAATTGGGCATTATCGTGCTGCCCTGGAACTTTGCCCCGACGGCCATCCCAAACGTCCCTCGTCTCTGAATCGCCTTGCAAATTCCCTTTGGACTCGATTCGAACGGTATGGACAGACTGCAGACATTGATGAGGTAATTGTGCATTATCGTGCTGCCCTGCAACTCTGCCCCAACGGCCATCCCGAACGTCCCTCGTCTCTGAATTACCTTGCAAATTCCTTTCAGACTCGATTCGAACGGTATGGACAGACTGCAGACATTGATGAGGCAATTGAGCATTATTGTGCTGCCGTGCAACTCTACCTCGATGACCATCCCAAACGTCCCTCGTCTCTGAATCGCCTTGCAAATTCCCTTTGGACTCGATTCGAACGGTATGGACAGACTGCAGACATTGATGAGGTAATTGTGCATTATCGTGCTGCCCTGCAACTCTGCCCCAACGGCCATCCCGAACGTCCCTCGTCTCTGAATCGCCTTGCAAATTCCCTTCTGACTCGATTCGAACGGTATGGACAGACTACAGACATTGATGAAGCGATTGAGCATTATCGTGCTGCCCTGCAACCTCGCCCCAACGGCCATCTTAAACGTCCCTCGTCTCTGGATCGCCTTGCGAGTTCCCTTCAGACTCGATTCAAACGGTATGGACAGATTACAGACATTGATGAGGCAATTGAGTATTATCGTGCTGCCCTGGAACTTTGCCCCGACGGCCATCCCAGCGTCCCGTATCTCTGAATGCCCTTGCAGTCTCTCTTAGAGCTCGATCCGAGCGGCATGGTCAGACTGCTGACATCGATGAGGCGGTTGAGCACCATTGTTCTACACTGCTGTCTCTCCCCGAGGGCCATCCCGATCACTCCCATTAGTATAATGACCTAAAAGTTCCTTTCAAATTTGTTCTGAATGGTATCAAGAGATGTTTGAGAATCTGGAGGATGAGGCAATCGAGTATCATTGTACTGCCCTGTAACTTGTCTCCAATAGCTGTCCTATTCTTATTTTTATTTTTATTTTTGCTAAATGACCTTGGAAATTCTCTTCTAACACAATTTTAACAAATATGGAGGCACTAGTGGTATAGATTAGGTAATAATAATTCATACATAACATATATAACTACCAGGCTTTGTCTGCAAGTAAGCAGAGCTTTATGTAAACAGGTACCAACAAAGTTTACAACAATATGTGAGGTGTAATTAAAAAATATTTGAGGAATTAGATCAAAATGCTGCCAATTTACTACTAGTTGTATTTCCTGTAACTGCCTAGTATTTTATGAGGTATGTTTACCTTACATTAGTCCATTATATCTTAAGATTATGTATCTAGGTGTCTATTCTGCAAAATTTTATCATCAAGTTGAGTATGAAGAAGTAGAAATGTAGAAATATATATGGGCTCTGTCCAAATGTGCTCTCAGGCTACAACACACATTTAGATAAATTATCTAAGTGTCAGCAACAGTGTAGAGGGGACCCAAAGGCTCAGCAAGGGGACCCAGGCTACAACTATCCTACACAACAGAAATACAGAACACAAGCACTAGAATGTAGTCAGAACTTGTAGAACAGGCAGAGAGAGAGAGTGAGACAAGAGTAGAGTATATAGAGTGAGCCTAAGAGTACAGGACTACCTAGAGTAGACAAGATCAAGACTACAGGACCAGTCTGATCTTGTACACCTATATATACTAAACTACACAAGAGTACTTAGGGAGCATGAGCCACTAAGAATGATAAGCTACAAAGAATGAAAGAAAGGAATGTCAAAGATAAAGGTACAAAGAATGAAGGGATGGACAAAGGGTAAGAGACTATAGAATGATACAAAGAATGAAGGGGTGGTCAAAGGAATGGAATGATGAAGTAAGGAAGGGTAGTAGCAAGAGTTAGCACACATATAGTTCATAGACAGTGCCCCTGAGGGATGGAAGTCCTGAGTTCTAGTACAGAAGGGTGCAGAACCCTCAGAACTGAAGGTATGAGAGTAGAGAACCATAACATCACCCCCCCTCTAAAACCAATCATCCTGATTGGTGAGCATTAGGCTTGGTCAGTAGCTCAGGCATAGGTCAGAACAGTAGGGTTTGGAATTCTGTAAGGCAGAGTTGACACAGAGCACTCAGATGAAGTCAATAGAAGTCTTAGATTGTCTTAGCAGTATGGGTGAGATTCTCAGCAGGTTCCCAAGTGTGTTCTTCAACTAAGTATCCCTTCCAGTAGATAAGGAACTTGAGCTTTCTGTGCACCAGCTTGGCATCTACTATGTACTCTACTTTGTATTCCAGTTCAGAACCAATGAGTTCTAGTAGAGGCAGTAGGGGTCTTTGTTGTAAAGGAAAACCTGGATTGTAGTATCAAGACAGTAGAACCTTGTT